CAAACCTTATCTCTACAATAAATCAAAAAATCAGCCGGGCGTGGTAGCGCATGCCTGTAATTCCGGCTACTCGAAAGGCTGAGGCGGAAGGATCGCCGGAGCCCAGCAGGTCGAGGCTGCGGTGGCCGGGAGTGGCCACTGCACTCCAGTCTGGGCGACTGAGTGAGACTCCAACTCAAAAAAAACCAAAAAAAGAATACCAATCTTGGGACTAACATGCCTTGATTCTTTACACCTCTTTTACAAGTCCTTATATTTCATTACTAATTTCATGAGCAGCAGCTTCCTGCGTTAGCAGACTGCCACACTTTTGCTCTCATGATTGGCTGAGCCTCCTGCTGTTCCTAGTCAGATATTCTGAATTCTATTTTATCGATAAAGCTTGATTTAACAACAACCAAAAAAAGTGAATAACTTTCTCACATTCACTACAAGAGTTTAGAGTTTTTTCCCACACTGAAGTGTAATATTAAATAAGAGATAAGTGATGATTTAGGACTTTGCCTCTCATGGTACCGCTAACAATAATCTAAATGATGGAATTGATAGAGTTGGGTTTTCTTATCAGTCTGTCTACATATAGAGCCAAAGGGGAGAGTGAAGCTTAAAAGGAAATCAGTAATCAAACCTCAAAACAAGGCTATTACAATTCACCACTGATGCTTGCTAATAACTGAAGTGTGCCAAGACTAAATTAAATGAAGCTGGGCACAGTGGTTCACACCTGTAATCCCAGCATTTTGGGAGGCTGAGGTGGGAGGATTGCTTGAGCCCAGGAGTTCAAAACCAGCCTGGGCAGCATAGCAAGATCTCATCTCCACAAAACATCAAAAAAAAAAAAAAAATTAGCTTGACATGGTGGTGTATGCCTGTAGTCCCAGCTACTCGGAAGGTTGAGGTGAAAGGATCGCCTGAGCTCAGAAAGTCGAGGCTTCGGTGAGCTGTGATCATGCCAGCCTGTGCAACAGAGACCCTGACTCAAAAATTAATTAATCAAAGTTGAATTTGTTTACATAGAAATTTAAAGAGCCATATGCCTATAATAGAAAACTATACTGGGAATGAAGAAGACTTGTAAGAGCATATGTATCCAAGCACCACAGGAAGTAGAAAGAACCAGGAAAAGGTGTCTGTGGCTCATGCCTATAATCCCAGCACTCTGGGAGGCCGAGGTGAGAGGACTGCCTGAGCCCACAGGTTCACGACCAGCCGGGGCACCTTGGCAAGACCTCATCTCTACAATAAATCAAAAAATTAGCTGGTTGTGGTGGCGCATGCCTGGAGTCCCGGCAACTTCGAAGGCTGCAGTGGCCATGAGCATGCCAGTGCCCTCCAGTCTGGGTGACAGAGTGAGACTCTGGATCAAAACAAAAAGGGTGGGGAACAAACGTCTCTTTGGCTGGCTATTACCAGCACTTGACAGTTATCAGCAACCATGGCCGCCAGAGAGCACTGCTTCTCATTTCCAGCTTTGAGAACTGTACAGTTTTAATTATATATTTGGTTATTATCTCAGACGTTTCCTGAAACAATGATGTTACTTTGTTGCACATTGACTCCCGATGTGATCAGTAAAATAAGGGCAATTGGCAAGAATGTAGCATGCTTTGTGCTTGGAAGTAAGATTGGTGCAATTTTTTAGGGGCCGATTTAGCCCTCGGGTACATATCATTAGAAGACAAAATAAGAAGAGAAGCCTGAGCGCAGGAGAAGAAATGAAGGCAAAAGTGAGAGCTATTTAGAGTAATGACAACAATTCCATCGGAAGTTACAATCTTGGCATTTTACATGGGCGACCAAGAAGATGCGACCAAGAGCATTTTGATCAGGACATAATAAAAAGCCATCCTGAATAGCTGACATAAGCATTTTATTTTTTCACATTTTTATAAAGACGGGGATCTTGCTATGTTGCCCAAACTGACCCCAACTGCTGACCTGACGCAACCCTTCTTCCTCGGCCTCCCCAAAAGCTGGGATTACAGGCATGAGCCATGGTGCCTGACCAAAATTAGTATTTTATTTTATGCATTTATTTTTTTGAGTCAGAGTCTCACTCTGTCACCCAGGCTGGAATGCAATGGCACGCTCGTAGCTACCACAGCCTCGAAATGCTGGGCTCAGGTGATCCTTCTGCCTCAGCCTTCCAAGTAGCTGGAAACCACAAGTGTGTGCCACTACACCTGGCTAATCTTTTTTATTTATTGTAGAGACAAAGTCTTGCCATGTTGCTCAGGCTGGTCTCGAGCACCTGAGCTCAGGCGATCCTCTCACCTCCGCCTCCCAAAGTGCTGAGATTACAGGAAGGAGCCACCACTCCAGCCAAAATTAGTATTTTAAAGGAGACCATTTGAAGTTTACGTCTAGAGATGAAGCCGGATGAACAGACTGACAGATCGTGGTGTTGTGAAGGTTTCTTTAATAGCAACTAGATGGGCGACAATGTGGTCAGTTAGTTGAAAGGGTGCCCATGGTACGAGGTGGACCCAAAAAATCCCAGAAATTTTCTTTCGGCGGGCAGGCCCCTTGTAGTACAGGCTTCCTCTGCTAGACAAGTGTTCTAGGAATTTATGGGCATCAATGTTCCAGTTAGTGCTATTGTGAGAGGCTGCATTTCGCTTCAGTGAATTTTTTTTTTTTTTTTTTTGTGGAGTTTCGCTCCGTTGCCCAGACTGGAGTGCAATGGCCGCTCCTGACACCACAGCCTCGACCTGCTGGGCTCCGGCGATCCTTCCGCCTCAGCCTTCCAAGGAGCCGGAACTACAGGCATGCGCTACCACGCCCGGCTAATTTTTTTGA